CTTCATGTCGACGCGCTGTGACGCGCTACAATCGCAACAACGCGTCAATTCTTAAGCGCGAACGCAGCCGCGGATGGAAATCGATTGGCGCCGGCCGCTTGTGTTTCGAGAGTATAGGTCAAAATGAGGGGTCGCCTTCACGCAGTCTGGAACTATCCCATTCTTCTATACCCTTCAAAGCCCTAGCGATTAGTGCGGATCGATATCTTGCTGCATGATTGAGCAACCCGTTCCCTCTTGTTCTTCCATACTCTCCCAGTAAACAGGCAGCCAACGCCGATCGATTTACGTCTACGGCTGCGTACGTCTCTATTGCACTGGAGCGTTGTTGCAACTGGAGCGCGTCGAAAAACGTCATCGCGAAGTCTAAACGATGCCTGACGGATACAACCACACCTTCGCGTAACATCCCCGAACTACCCTTGCCCCGAAAAAAGACGATTTTTTTATAAATAAGGAATCTGTATTAGGAGTGGGTACAATTAATGTGTCGGTGTCCTGTGGATAAACGGACCCAAACATGAAAATTGGGATATGTTACGATAGCCGTTCTTTTCATTACCTCTATGTTAGGATGGGTTAACATGCTCACAGCCGTTTCTCGACAAGGGCTTGGATATTGGACATGGTCGCCTTGACTGCCACACATTCTTCCTTGCAGATGAAATGGATCAGCTGATGCTGAACGAAGTCCTCCTATCTATGGTCGAAACCAGGAACGCTCGGACGCAAGGCTCCGAGGAACGGGCTCAATATTGCCCTACCACATATGGCCCTTCCACTATCATGTCTTCGACCTCACCATAATTTTCCTTGGCTGACGTGTTCGCTGCATGACAAAGCATTTCTTCTTTGCCGTCGGTTCCACGTTGGGAGCACCATCTGTACCATCGATCAAAGCCCTCAGTAAGGACCCAGGTCCAGTATCCAGCGCCATGATTGTCGGTGTGATGTCAACGGGAGGTAAACGATGTACTGATTCCTCTTTCTTCTTCCTTACAACTTTCTGGTTGTAAGGCTTTTTAAATAACGGTGCAGCTGGCACTTGAGCTATCTGAGGCACGGATACAACACTATCTGATCGGTTCGGAGCATCTATATGACAATGGCGTAAATCCTCGTCGGTCGAGAATGATCGGCAATCGAGCGAGCAGTTGTCCTCATCTAGCCCGAAGTCAACATGAACAAAGTGAGGGCTTTGTTGTTGACCTATGTCAGAAGTCCTGCTCGGCAACATGATACTGTAAGTGCGATCGTGAGAGTGAAACTCCGATTCACGAGCTCTTTTGAGGGTGGATCTTGGTAGCACTGCTGCACAGAGTGGAACAAAGTCGTCACGCTTTGCAATTCCTCGAGAGGGAACCGATGAATAAGCTTCATTGGCCGCTCCAGTAACTTTCGCAAAACTATTTGCTCTCAGATGGTTTGGAGCTGCACCGCTCGGTGGTCCGCACTGCCACTCCATACAGTGTGCCTCCAAAGCAGTGACCGAGTTGTTCAAAGACGTTGAGGAAGATCCTGCTCGCTTGCCGTCGTATCGAAGCTCGCTCTTCAGACATTTGGAGTTCCTCCTAAAAGAGTTGTTACTGAGATGCAGTATATTTCGATAAAGTAATACTGACTGGCTGTCATACAATCGCGTTCACTACGGATGCTGATGGGATGGGTCAGACGGCTGGATCTGGCGCGACGCCAAGCTGTCTTGGCCATCGTGGAAGCCGGCGGGCGACCACAATTGGCAGAAATCTGGCTGGCACCACCCAAGCCTACCCACCTGGCATTCCCCAGCTTCCACAGCGAACATCATTGTATTTATCATCAGGCAAGAATTTTGTGAGTATCAGGCAGGATTTTTACGAAACGGGTGGAATACATGCGTACCATGATCGCTGAACTTTTTGTTTCCCTTCTCCCTCCACCCCATTTCTCTAATCACCCACAATCCCTCACTGGGTTTTGCATTTTTTTCAACATGATAGCAAAAAAATACGGCCTGCTGTTTATTACTAAGGATTCTGCCACCCCATCAGGCTGCCGTTAGAATACCTTTTCTCCAACCAGGTCCTTCAGGTCGCCCCACTATGAACTGTAACCTCAACAGAAAACTCTACAAGCTACCTTCACCCAGAATGGCTTGCCAAGTCCTCGGAATTCTGTAGAGTTAATTTCGAAATCCGACCGCCAGAAATTCAATATAAAATAAAGATGCCCGTGATTAGTAGTTCTTGTTTGCTACGACTGGAAAACGTATTCGACTGCCTTCCCTTTCCGAGCCTAAGGATAAAGGGCCTCCAAAGATTTCGGCGCTGATAAATTGGTAGTTGAACTGAGGATTTCTATTCAAAATGTAGTGGCATTTTAGTACCGCTGGGTATAGTAGAGGAAGGGAATACATCCTCCCAAATGAGTGTGGTACCAAAATGTCTACCGGAGCCGATCAAGGACTTCACTCCACGACCAACAATGTTGAATTTTTTTAGTAGGCTTTGCCCGAAAAAGCAGCAGCCGTAAAGTTGTGACAAAAAAACTGAAAAACTCACTTTGTCGATGGAACATTTGTTCTTCGAAAAATACTTGCTCAACTCTGGACGATCTTTGACCACCTGAAATAGCACAGATAATTTACTATGTTCAAAGTGAGATAAAATACTTGAAACAAAGATTATCAACCTTTTCCACAAAGCTCCTACGTATTGCCATTTCATCTATAGGTTGCCTGGCAAACTTTGACCATATCCTGCGCCGTTCAGTGAAGCTTATAGATGTGAGTAGTTTCAAATCCTGGAACAGTTTTCGAGAATCGAACCCTTAAAAGAGTTGTCGGGAACTTTTGGAACTGGTTTCATTATTAAAATGAGAACAATGAAACCGAAATCACGCAAAGTAAGAGCGTTCATACTGCGTCAGCGTTTTTAGCGCAAAACAGCGTTTTCAGCGTACGCCACCTTATTGAGCGATTCGAGCGACGAGAAAAGTACAGGTATCGATCTAGCGTTTTGGTCGTAGATCAAGGTTTCAAGCGGCTAGGAAAGTATAGGCTCCGATCTAGAAGCCTTGGATCGATACCTACACATTCTTAGTCGCCCAAAACGCTGGCGCACGCTCGAAACCGCTGACGCCGACGCGAAGTATAAGCACATCTCAACAGTCCTCACTTTGTTGGATTAAGCTGAGAAAACCAAATGAAATTACCAGGATAGGCTCCACATGGTTCGGACACATCCATGTTTCAGAAGGCGGCGAACATAAAGGAAATCGAAGACAATCAATATGGTATACATATTTACAGAAGTCACATTGAATCTTCGGAGAATCCTCTCCGAATCTGAAAACAGTTCAGGGCATAAGCGTGCAATGATGAAAATAAATCTAGAAAAAAACAACCTAAAAAATCAAGGTATACACAGGATATCCACGTTGCACCGTTGCGGCATTCGCTTTAACGATCTGATTGAATGAGCGTAATGTGCTGTGGCATGTCGAGTCAACTAGCTAGGAGATAGTCTACTAGTTACGCGGCGCCGCAACGTGGATCTCTTGCACCACACCTCTCAAATCAACTTGCTTATCTACTGTAAACATACGTACCCTTCACAAACTGTGCATGGCTCATCGATTATGATTTGCCGTGGTTGCGCTAGACCTTTGTACGGCATAAGACCATACGGCAACAGGCCATCGATACGATATGAAGGCGGAACATCGAACTAAAATAAAAGTTTGGACGTACCCTCCCAAAAATCGAATGTGGAGCGCAGATTACGTGACGCGCCAAGAAAATGAGAACTCGATGAGAAAGAACCTTTTTGAGTGCTTGCTTATTCAAAGCTCCTCCGTGCAGTTCATGAGCGCAACATCCACAAATAACACTGCAGAACATTTGGAAATACCGTCTTGTTGGCTGTGGATGCTGGGCGGGGGAGGGGTTAGGTTTGGGGTGTGAATCCAGTTTTCCAGCAATCGCGGTCGCCTGTCACTTCTCTAATTGGTGGAGAAAGGGCTGGCGTGCCAAAGCCAGTCCCACAAGCCCTAAGGTGCTGCGAGTAAGACTGTAATACGCATTAGAAGATATGTGGAACTCTGACAGCGCGATAACGACGCGATTGACTAAGGCCTCACATTTCACGACACGAATCT